CCCCCCCCCCCCCCCCCCCCCCCCCCAACTCGGCCTCTCCTTTATCTCTATGGTGTTGGGAGATTGAACTGACGCCATTTTAGGTCTAGAGATTGCGAACAGGAATCCTTTGTTCAGTGAGATGGGTCACAGAGCAGCGCGCGCCTCGTCTGCATGCACGCGCGCGCGCTCTCCTTTCCGCACTTCTTTCCGCGCGCCGACGTTCCAGTGTCTGAGCGCTCAAGGTGGAGCTCGGAGAAGGCGGGAAAAAGGCATGCATTTCCAAGCATGCCTATCTTCGTCTCCCATTTCCAAGCATGCCGTTAGGGCGGGGGGGGGCATAGAGTAAATGTAGTTGAACTCATTGAGACAATACCGTATACTGAAGGTTGTGTTCCCCATTTCCTTCTATGCATTCTCAGAACGAGTTTCGCAGGTCAACGCGAGTGTGTGTGGCGTTACTTGGCACAGTGTTTATTGTATGTTTTGCTTTCGTTTAATAATTGACTAAGTTTCAGAGTCAAACATGACTGACCTGTGTTTAGCTACATAATCTCATCGCATTGGTTAAATATTTTTATATACATCTTTTTAAATTAAAAACACCTAGAAAGCCCCCGTTGTGTATCCTAATAGAATGACTAGAGAAACTATCACTAACATAGGAGTCTCTGGGAATGATAGACTTTCTGGCTTGAAAATTGGAGCTGTAGTGCAGGGTTATCTAGAGCAGGGTTGCCAACCTTTTAGACCTCAGGGATCACCAAACTCATAATTTTAAATCCCGTGGACCACTAATACGAATTTTGACTGACGGTGGCTTGCTGACATTGGTGGGAAAGTCGGTGCCATATTCCAGAGCTGCAGTAGTCACAGGACTGGCCCTTTGGTCCTCCTGGATCAGCTGCTCCTTCACCCGGGGGTACCAGCCTGCCATGGACTGGAGCAGCTGCTCCGGGAGGACCAAAGGGCCAGTCCTGTGACTACTGCAGCTCTGAAATATGGCACCGACTTTCCCACCAATGTCAGCAAGCCACCCTGGGGCTGATTTCCCTCCCCTGCCACCAAAGGGTGGGAGCCAGTGGGTGGACAGGCCATGTGGGCAGCACAGTCTTATGTTCCCACACAGCCTGGATTAATTGCTTTGCGGGGGGGGGGACATTTTTCTGCGGACCACCAAAATTTTCTTGTGGACCACCAGTTGGCGACCACTGATCTAGAGAGTATCAGTTTAGCTAGATTATCAGACTAGGTCACTAGGATAAGCCATATTGCATAAGTGCAGGGGGCGTGCATAAGCGCACCAAGGTGCCTACAGTCCCTGTCCTATTGTTTCTTTTTATTTTTCTTATATCTATCCATTTCATGTATTCATAACTATGTTTATACTTATACCTATTATCTTGTAAGCGATTGACAAATCAAATAAATAAATATTCATAATTCTATAACTGCTTCACAGTTTGGCCTACCTCAAAGGATAGTTGTGAAGACAAAATGGAAGAATACCCCATAAGGCACTTTAAAATCCTTAAAGTCATGCTGCCTGGTTCCATTACGATATTTTTTATAAAAGTTACGTGGAGATATTTGAAATATTTTGTGAACCCTTTCAAAATTTCTCTTGCCAAACATTCAATGCTTTTCTATATCCAGTTTCCAGTTATCAATATATTACATTTTAGATATCCGTAGTAAGATCATTTTCATTATGACTTGCAAAAATGTCACAAAATAGCAAGTAAATTTGTATGTTCAAGGGACTGTGAGTAAGTTGAGAGAAGGTACAGGAGAGAAAATGTCTTACATGGGTAATCCTTGACTTTCGACCGTTTGTTCAGTGACCATTCAAAGCTACAACACTGCTGAAAAGGATTTATGGTCATTGCAGTATCCCTGCGTTCACATGATCAAAAATTGGGTCTTGGCAGCCTACCTACACTTCCATGTGCAGGGTCACTCCAGCACTCCCCACCTGCTTATCTCTCCCCCACCTTTATCTCCATCTTTGCCCTTTGGCTGCCCTGCATCCTACCGTACAGGGTGGCAAGCAGGCTTTGGGGAAACTGCAGTTGTCCCAGTCCAGGCCCAGCCACAAATACTCTTAACTGGTCCACACTTTGAGCCCCCTGCCACCCTGCACTTCACTGTCACACTTCACATTTGCCATTCTGCTGATGAGATATGCCTGGCCTCGATGTCAAAAAAAGCCAAAATCCATCCCTGAGTGGCAGCACACCAAAATCTTGATAAAGTTCAAGGTATGAAGAATTAAAATATGTATACTATATTAAACATAAAACATAAGCCAAAGATCCCCTGAAAACATGTTCTTTAGAGGCAATGCAAGCCCATCCAGAAATTACCCTGGTTCTGATAGACAAACACAATGAACCTACAGCAAATACATCTTGCTTGGGTTCAACTTTTCAGCCTCCAAACACCAGGATAAGATGCTAAAAGCTGCATCAGAAAGTGATGTGATATTGGATATAATTAATTAAAATATGTATGATAAAATGTTATAGGAAGATATCTTAATAACATTTTATACATAACTTGTACAAATTTACAGAAAATTAATATAAACAACTGCCTGATTAGAATTTCTGACATTTGTGGAAAGGATGTGTATAATTCATTATAAGATATAGGTCCATCTGCCATCTGGTGGTTATATATAACATTGTCTTTGCTTTTAAGTAAGTTTGCTTATTTATGTTATCAAGATTGCAGTATTATATGCTCTTTTAATGCTTAAAAATACATAGATTTTCTTTGTATGGATAGAATGGGGAAGGTGAAAGAGTAGATAAAGCAAGTTCATATTATTTGAAAAGCAAATTAAGGAAAATTTAACTCCCTGTAATCTCACCCATCTCTTAGTTATAGTTAGTACTAGTTATATATCAAATTAATGTACAGATAATTATTTGCAGAATAAAATGCCCATATGTTGTGGTTAGCCAGCAGCAGGTGCAGATGGCTGAGGAGAGTGAGGACTCTGATGAAGGGCCAGGACCATCAGGGAGTGGACTGCTGCCTTCAGAGATTGTGGGGGCTGGCAGCAGTGATGAGGTTCCTGAGGAGCCTGTGCCAAGTGCACCTGCACGAAGGATTGCTCAGAGGAAAGAACAGTTACAGCAGCACAGGCGACTTGGGAGTAAGGCTGCAAGGTTACGGCCCCTCTCTCAAGAGGATAAAAGCCAGGTTTGGAAAAGCATTCTTTGCAGACAGCAAAGAAGCTCTGAAACTCAACTCGTGGACATCTTAGTTCGTGTTTGGAGAATCTTGTAAATTAGTTCTTATCTCTGGGTTTTTGGCAGCCTTGACAAACAACTTGGCAAGGCTCTTTCTTGTTGGAGCTAATTAGTGGAAAGCAGCCTTCAGAACAGAATTTGTTATTAAACCTTAAAAGGTGGAGGCTGCTGCCTTTGTCTGTATTTGTTCTTTGGGAACCCGGTTGGGTCAGACCACCATAGGCATGGTTTGCAAGAATGAATAAGAATATATTCCTAAAATAATTCAAAGAAATAAAAAATGCAGCAAAGACATAACCCCACTAACAATGTTAATGTAAACACTCTGTTATCCTAAACATCTTTAGCAGGGAGCAAGCCACACGGTGGCATTTACTTCTGAAAAGATTTGAAAAGCATGTATAAGATTATTTCATAAAATAGCCTCTGATTTAATGAGAGGCAATTAATATAATCATAAAAATATTGATACAGTGTTCCTGTATTTGCTTTACCATATTTTGCATAATGCAATCAAAACACACAGTGCTTAATACTTGCTGGGAGTACTACATGAGTTACACATGAATATTCAGGAATAGTACTGACTACATGAATGGAATGTAGGTAATTTGTGATGTAAGAGCTAATAAGGTTAGACATTGTGCAGTATGTGTGATGTAAGGACTGTTTTTGTTTAAAACGTATCTGTGCTGATGGATCAGTGTAATCACAGTAAATGCATGATAATTATTTATATAAAAGCTTATGTTTTTAAATACGTGCTGTGTAATGATAAAGTAAGGAACACAAACCCTGACTGTGAACTTATAGGCTTAATGAACGAGAAGAGATGGAATATAAAAGGAGAAGGAAAACAAGATAGAGACTACTGGAGTGAAGCATAGATGGAGAACCCGTATTACAGATTTAGTCAAGTGACTATTTCAAAAAGGAGTGGATGACTGACTCAACTTTGAAATGTTTTACTAGGTTAGACTATTTGGTTCTTTTCCCAACAATAGAAACCCCATTATCTTTGGCAGCACACACAGACATACACACACACACAAAACAGGATAGGAGCCTAATGGTATCTAGTTGTTTGTTATAGACATTTTGTATTCAAAGATGAATGGCATCAAATGAATACTGTACTTAAATATGATAGCGGATACCATAGATATATCAGTTCAAGTAGTAGCTGGACATGTACTGAATAATATAAACATACTGAATAAATTAAAAGACATGCATTCAAATTGTGTTATTTTATTTTTTAAAAATGTTTATCACATTAAATTAAAAAGGAAAACAGAATATCAGGTAACCTGTATTATCTCGTGAGAAATATCAAATAAATCTAGTGGAATCAA